AACCCATCACAATCTTACACAGAAAAGAGATCTGTTGGCATATCCTTCCCGAAGGTTACCCAACACAACCTCACACACAAAAGAGATCTGGCGGCCTAACCTTCCCCGAAGGTTACCCGACACAACCTCACAACACAAGAGATTTGACGGCATAACTTCTCTCCCTAGAAGATTACCCATCACAACCTCACAACAATGCAAACCTGCATATAAACACACAAGAGATTTGACGGCATAACTTCTCTCCTAGAAGATTACCCATCACAACCTCACAACACATTATATAAATTTCTGCAGCATAACTCTCCACAATTTTTACTAAACCTTATTGTTTAGAGAGTTATACTACAGAACCAATAACCAATATGAACAGAAAGCATCTCCTATGCTTTGGTGTTCATACAACCTGCATACACAATAGATCCAAAAACTAAAACTATAACACCAAGACTCACCACTTTAAGAAGACTTCAAGATCCTCCTAGCTTTCCTTAAGCTTTGATCTTGACCTACTCTAATCTTCCACTAACCTCACTTAATTAAGAAAACTTTCTTAATTACTCTCTAATCACTTTTCAGGTGCTCTCTAGCTTTGGGAATGGAATGGTTTGGACTTGGGGCTGGAGGAGCGTATTTATAGGAGTTCAGGAGGCTGCCTGGCTTCTTGGGACGTCTCCAGTCGTCGCATAGACACATGGAGACCTAGGCCTAGCATAGCTTTGCTTGGTGGCAACCTACACTGCCTCAGAACGCGACATCCAGGCGGTCTAGGCTAGGTAGCTTTGATTGGTGGCCTCTAGGGCGTCTCAGGACATGACACACGTCATTCCTATCCCCTCTCAATGCTCATCCAATGAGCCGACTTCCCCCAAGCATGTGGTGTAGTCGTGCCGATTGGATATAACTCATCTTATCCATTAAGATGCTGGGTGCTTCTGTCTGATTGGTCAGCTCTTGATCCAATCCGTTTCTGCATCTCTACACTTGCTTCTCATCCACTCCTGAAGCTTCTACTCTCTCTCAGTGGTTGGTGTTGCATCCTGATTCGTCCAAGTCATTTCGTCTCCATTTATCACCTCAATGTCTCCGTCTGATTGGTTTGGATGATTCTTGTCTCTCTTTAGCAGCTATGATATGATCATGGAGGAGGTTGCTAGGAACTTGGACCAGGAAGCAGCTGGAGAGCTTGAAGCAGAGGAAGCAGCTTGAACCTGAGGAAGCTTTGGCCTTACCAACTGGACCAGTTCACAAGGTCCCAAACTAAGATACTCAACCAAGGCATTGGAAGAGTACTTAGCCGTTTGAGTCGGCAAGATCATGACTTAAGCATTCCACTTGGTTTGTTTGAGAGCCCAACACTTGGGATAAAGAGCAAGTGGATCTTAGTGTGCTCTTTTTCCCTGCCAAGGTTTTGTCCCTTTGGGTTTTCCTTGGTAGGTTTTTAATGAGGCCTAAGACCCACTTTCAAATCACTCTTTATCTCTGTTGTTTGGGTCCGGCCCAACTCTTCTCCACTGCCAAATCTGCCGCCCAATGAAGAGTCTATGTTCAAACTCTTTCATTTATGTTTTGTTGTGTTTTCCGAGATGTCATGGAGCCTGTTCCAATTCTCTCTCTCTCTCTCTCTCTCTCTCTCTCTCCTCCCTTTAACTCTGAACTCCCTTTGAATTCAATCTTTTAATCAAAAACCCTTTTGTTTGTTCATTCAAACTTCTTAGTGTGTAATATCTAAGATCTTTAGTTTTCTTGAAGTGAGTCATATCTTTGAGAATCTATTCCTTGTCCATCTCTTGGTGTGTAATATCCTGGAGATCAACAAGAGCCTTGTCCATCTCTTGGTGTGTAATATCCTTGAGATCAACAAGTTTGGTGTTGAGAGATCCTTCCGCAGATCTCTTGTTATAGCCACTCAATCCCCTTTCACTTACCATCTCGCCCAAGTCACTTCCATCACTTCATCAATCCATCTTTCATCACTCCATCATTCCAACTTGCTTCAAAGTGCCGATCTATAATCAGGGGTCTATCAAGTGGTATCAGAGCCACTTTGAAGCTAAGTACTCTCTCCTTTGATTGTTTTAATTTCGTTTTTGTTCATCATATCATTTGTGGCTGTTCATCTTCTAGATCTGGCGAGTTTTGTTACTGGAAATTGGTTTAATTATTTGCACAATTTTAAAACTATTGTCATAATTAATCCTGATCACTCTCATAGATCTATCCATCTACTATTTTTCCCATATTTTTAGAAATTGTTTGCATAATTTCTAAAATTATTTCTTGATCTTTTCCTTTGAACTATTAACTGCCGAGTTCTTTCCTGTTGTTTCAGGTACTATGGCGGATGGAAAAGGAAGATGAAGAAGATTCGAAAAAGTCTCAGTGAATCCCTTCTGGACAAATCAAGAAGCTCATGAGGGAAGAGTTTGAACCGGAGGGAACAAGTTAAAGCAGGAAAGCGCAAAGAGTCTAGAGATCACATCCATATATCTGATGAGGAGAGGAGGAACGACCCTATGGCCTCAAGAAGGATGGCCGATGAGCAAGCCAACCTTACTACAACAGTGGCCATTCCTCTCAAGGAAGTCGGCGCCGCTCTAGAAGGCATCGCGATGATCCAGATGGTCGAAAATCTTGGAGGATACAAGATCCGGATTCCCCCTTTCCATGGCAACAACAATCCTGATGAGTACATGGACTGGGAGAAGAAGTGTGAGTTCAACTTCAACTTACACAACATCTCCAACATCAACAGAGTCAAACTGGCGGTCTCTGAGTTCAATGACTATGCCCTAAGGTGGTGGGAACAAGTCGTGACCGCAAGAGAGATTGGTGGAGCTCTTGAGGTCTCTACCTGGGAAGAGATGACAAGGATCATGAGGCAGAGGTTCATACCTAGCTATTATCAGAGAGAGCTACATTCTAAGCTCAGGAGGCTCACTCAAGGGTCCAAAACAGTTGAAGAATACTTCCAGGAGATGGAAGTGATGCTAAGGGCTAATGTGATTGAGGACAGAGAAGCCACTATGTCCAGGTTCCTTGGAGGGCTCAACCGTGAGATCCAAGATATTGTGGAGATGCAAAACTGTGTGGGCTTGGAGTCTATGCTACACAAAGCAGTTCTGGCCGAAACCCAACTCAAGAGGAGGCGCCAACTCGGCATGGAACTGATCAGCGCCGGCCTGTCTATGCCAGAGACTCCAAACCGGCCTTTCACACCAAAGTCAGAGCCAGAGGAGTCCCTTACAACCAAGACAAGGACAAGAACAAGTCCAGTACACCTCTGCCCCAGAGCCCGCGAGCTTAAGTGCTTCAGATGCCAAGGCTTTGGACACTATGCCAATGAATGCCGCAACAAGAAGATCATGTTCATAAGAGATAATGGAGAAGTGGAGTCTGAGGAAGAAGCTCTAGAGCCAGAGCAAGAGCCAGAACCAGAGGAGTATGAAGCTGTGCCTGTCATGGGAAAGCTTCTGGTAGCCAGAAGACTCTTGAGCGCTCAAGTCCAAACACACAAGGAAGAGCAAAGATAAAACCTATTCCATTCTCGCTGTCTTGTCCAGGAGAAGGTTTGCAGCTTAATCATTGATGGAGGCAGTTGCACTAATGTGGCTAGTGAGGCCATGGTTGAGAAGCTTGGTGTAACACCCCCAGTTCGGTCTATAGACATAGACTAAACCACAGATGTCACAACTGTCGAGACTCATCAAATAGGCCGTTCCAGAACAGAGAACGAATCAAAGTCTAGATCAGCCCGTCCGGTGAATCCGACCCTCTCGACCGTAGCATAAGGCTTTGCAACCCGTACCATGGTCTTGAGTTGTGTCGGCTTGGACTAGCCTATTATCATTGAGTAACCGGGTTTAAAAGAAAACATTCTTTTATATATATCAAACTTGTAATACAAATTCTTACAAAACATTTTATACTTTATGTTGCAGCTGCGGCCTAATGCCAAAAGATAATTATACATACATTACCCGAAAACCGAGTTTTGCAAAAAGCCAACCAAACTACTCCGGTCTTCGACTGTTCTGCCTCCTGTTCACAGGATTCTACTCCGAGCTACCTGTAAGACAAATAATCATCATGAGTAACCTAATGTTACTCAGTGAGTTCAGGACCCTCTATACAAAGGTTATTCCCCAAACCCAAACCCCAAAAGAAAAAGGCGGGATCTCATCCGCCACCTGCAACACAAAGCAATTATGCAATATTGCTGCTATAGCCTTAAGACTAACCGTACCCCAATCAAACAAGAACAGGTACGATCAATCCAAGACTATAACAACACTCAAACAAGCAATCAATCAATCAAGCAATGCACACAATCAATCTATATGCAAAGCAACCCTAATCAAGTAGCGGAATACTTGACTTCTACATGCAGTGAGGCCTCTAGGTGCATAAGCCACATTCTCAGCCCACGCCTGTGAAGGTTCACGCTCATCCGGAATCACACAGAAACTAGATGAACGCCTTCACCCGGGCACTACAGTCCATCGCGGTACCCGGTTCATCCTCCCATCTATTGGCCTTACTGGCGCACCATGCCAATGTCTGGTTGGATCCCATATCGTCATATGGTACCATACTCGGCCAAGGCAGCTGACCAGGTTATCCTCCGAGTCTTCCTCCCTTCATGCACAGCCTCCACGCTGCCAATCCGGTTGGGCTCTGACGTGCGAGAATGCGCTTGACTACACCTTCCTAAACAACATGTGGTTAGACACGCCACATGTTCTCAGTACTTAGCATATGGGCCTTTACGCACCACTATGCCTCATACCCTCGGTTCTGCGGCAGAGCTTCCCTTGCCTCGGAAGAGTACCCACACGAACCTCGAAAGATCTGGCGGCTCAGCCGTCCGTGATCTTTCCACATCGGAGTCATACTCAACATATGGGCCTTACGCACCACCATGTTAGCATGCACTCGAGGTTTAGCGGCATAGCCATGCTATAACCCCACAACCGATGCATCTCTATGCACCTGCACAAACAAGATCTGACGGCATAACCTTCCCCGAAGGTTACCCATCACAATCTTACACACAAAAGAGATCTGCCAGCATAACCTTCCCCGAAGGTTACCTAACACAACCTCACAACACAAGAGATCTGACGGCATAACTTCTCTCTCTAGAAGATTACCCGTCACAACCTCACAGAGATTTCTGCAGCATAACTCTCCACAATTTTTACTAAACATTATTGTTTAGAGAGTTATACCACATACTTATGAAACGATAGAAGGAAATAAACTATAACCTAGCTACCGGAACTCACAACTTTTAGACGACCCGGCTGACCCCGACCCTAGCCTCCCCGCTCTAGCCCGATGCTGATCCGCCTCTGGATCTTCTTCTCTTCTCCTCTTTCTTCTTCTTTCTCTTCTCCTCCACGCCTTCTCACTTTCTCTTTCTAGTTTCTCTCTCTAGATTTCAGTTTGTGGTGTGGTTTGGAAATGAAGACCAAGGGGGCCTTTATATAGGTTTTTCGGAAGCTCGAGGTGGCGTCTGGTGGCTTCAGAACGCGACACCTTGCTTCCGCATGCAACCAATGGCATTGCTGCACGCCTGGAGCAGCTTCTTCCATCCCAATCCACTTGAGTCAAATGGCACCTTCCCATTGGTCCATTCCCCAAGCTGTTGGGTAGCTGAACGTGATTGGTTCGTTGAGGATGAGCATCTCCTCCTTGATCCTATCTTCCTGGATCAAGTGGCTCCTTCCCATTGGCTCATTGTTGATCAGATCAACAAGCTGCTGAGTGTCTAGACCTGATTCGTCCAACACATTCCTGTCTTCTCATGAGCAGCTGAGTGCTCACACCTGATTGGTGCAACACATTTTCGTCCCATATGAGCAGCTGAGTGCCCATACTTGATTGGTTAGCTTGAACTTATCCTTGATAAGTAGCTGGTGTCGCCATTCCATTGGCCTTGTGCTTCCTTCTACGTTTCCTCTTGCAGAAGGTTTCGTACGTTTCCCTGTACGGAGGGTTTCGTACGTTTCCTTGACTGGAGGGTTTCGTCCCGTCGTACTTGAGAATTAAAATCTCTCATTTTAATCCTTCCGTCATTTCCATGTTTCTGAGCTTCCACATAGCTGCTTGGAAATGTGCGGGAAACCTCTATCCCGGGACATTTGCGTTTCTCGCGCTTGTCATGGGATGGATCCTCCGTGTAGTGGGATGGTCGTTTCTGGCCGTCCGTCCCGTCTATGTCTTGACCGTGCTTAGCTAGCATGAGGGATATTACATTCTCCCCCCCTTAATAGAATTCGTCTCGAATTCTTTTAAGGCTATGATGCCTCTCCTTGTTCCATAGAGCTGTGTGCTGCATAGAACTCGGGGTAGTTCTTCCGGAAGTTCTCTTCATCTTCCCAGGTGATAACTTGCCGGTTTTGTCTTCCCCAGAATACTTGAATCTGTGGAATCTCGCGGTTCTTCAGCTTACGAACTCGGCGATCTCCAAGTCTGATTGGACCTTCTGGGTAAGTAAGGTTTGGCTGCAATCCTTCTACCCTTTCAGGTTCAATGGCACTGGGGTCACGTATATGCTTCCGTAGCATTGATACATGGAACACTGGATGTAGATTCATGTCCGCCGGTAGGTCTAGGCGATAGGCCACCTCTCCAACTCGCCCAATGACTTGATATGGACCTATGAATCGTACTGCTAGCTTCCCGATCTTCCCAAAACAATCTCTACCCTTTTGAGCGGACACTTTGAGGTATACCCAGTCTCCAATGGTAAAGACTATCTCTCGCCGGTTTTGATCGGCATACTTCTTCTGTCGATCTTGTGCCTTCTTCATGTTTGCTCGGATTGTTTGAAGCTTCTCCATTGTTTCTTCAACCATCGGCGGTCCGAACATTCTTCTTTCTCCAACTTCAGTCCAAGAAAGTGGAGTTGATGAAAGGTTTTTTGTGTGTGTAAGTGGAAAGATATGAAATGAAATGAGATGAGTGGAATGCAATCAGTGGTAATGATGGTGGTAAGATGCAAACACAAACACAGTCAACAATTCCCTTTAACCATGATAGTTGTAGTACAAAGGGTTATCAATCCAAAATGGGAAACTTGTCACTCTATGAGAATATGAAACAACCAGGAAGTCAAGCAAGCAGTTATAGATTTGAAGTAACACTAACAACCTAAATAATGAAAATGCAGTGCAATAAAAGTAAACAAAGCAGTGAAGTGTCAGCTCGACCAAGACTCGAGTCGAGTAGAGCAAAGTACCAGCTCGATCGAGTTTAGGGACGAGTTGAGACAAACAAAGCTAAAGGTGACGACTTTAACAAGAAAAGAGAGAATTAGGGTTCAAGACAGGGTTTTGCAATCAAAGGAATCTACACTTAATCAATCTAGCTCTTAAAACTCCTTGTATCAAGGCTTCTCTTGATATTGGGCTTCTCAATGCCTAACCAACCCTTTCCCAAGGTGAAGGCTATCAACCAAGGAATGATCTCAGAAACAGGGGGTTAGCCAGTGAGAATCAAACCTTGGAGGCTATAGGATCATTGCCCAAACTAATCCATCCAACCCCTTAGACCTCTATTGTCTAGAGCAAGAGATATTGGAGCTCTTAGTGGATCTTTTCCAGCGAATGCCATCACTTCGTGTGGGGAGTCGCCTAAGGACTTACAAGCCAGGGGTAGTGGTCATGTAGCCTTAAGATCTATCCAAAAGAGAGAGAATCTAGATTAAGACCATAAGCTAGAAGGATTAAGCATATGAAACCTCTAATCTATCCCATCTCAAACCCTAATGGGTAACTACTCACTACACATGAATGTAAACACAAGCAAATGCAATGAAATAGACATCATAAGAAAGAGGAGATGAAATTAAACAACTTTTATTGAAATAAGCAAGTGCAAATACAAAGCAAGATAATCCAGGATCTAAGATTCAAGAAGCAAGAGCTTCAAGAACACAAAGATGGGATTAGGGTTCTAAAAAGTAAAGACAATAAATTAAAGAAGCTAAAACAAAGATAATCTAAAGCTTGGTGGTTTTTTCGTGGCTTAGAGCCTTTAAATACAAGAGGATTAGGTTTAGGGTCAAAGGAAAGTCAAGGGGGAAGCAACATTTTTCGGGTTTGACTTTGACTCCCCAGCTCGATCGAGTTGAAGCTTGGCCGGTCGAGTTGAGGAACTCGACCGGTTGGTCGAGTGGACGGTCGAGCTGGTCTTCAAGATGGCTTCTCCCTTCTTCCTTTGCGTGTCCAGTTGAGCTGCTTCCATGCGCCAAGTCCCTCCATGCTCCTCATGTCCATATGCTCCAGAATGCTCCAAAAGACCTATTTCAAAGGACCAAACATGCATATGTATGCAAATGCAACCTAAAACTAACATGAATGCATAAGAAGAGAAAAGGAACAAGATATGATGCAAATGGAAGCTAAAACTATGCAAAAGATGCATAAAAGATGTGCTAAAACTATGTAAAATGCAAGTACATCAGGAGTGCGGCAAGGTCTACCATATAGTGCTTCATATGGTGACATGCCGATACTGGAATGATAACTGTTGTTGTAGGAGAATTCTATAAACGGTAGATATTCCTCCCACATACCAGCCCAATCCAATATGCACAACCTAAGCATATCCTCCAAAGTCCGGATGGTTCGTTCTGTCTGGCCATCGGTCTCGGGATGAAATGCAGTGCTCATGTGTAGTTCCGTTCCTAAGGCTCCTTGCAGTGCTCTCCAGAATATTGCAGTGAACCTTGGGTCGCGGTCGGATACAATGTCCGTTGGCACTCCATGTAGCCTAACTATTTGCTTGATGTATAGGTCGGCTAAGATCTCCACCTTATCAGTATCTCTAACAGGTAACAAGCGAGTTACCTTAGTTAGTCGATCCACTATAACCCATATAGTGTTGTTCTGCCTTCCTCTTGCTATGGGCAATCCTGTGATGAAATCCATAGCAATGGAATCCCATTTCCATTCTGGTATAGGCAGACTTTGAAGTAACCCTCCTGGTACTTGGTGTTCCGCCTTGATTTGTTGACAACTCTGGCATTGGGAGACATATCTTGCCACTGCTTTCTTTATTCCAGGCCAATGATAATATCTCCGTATGTCCTTGTACATCTTCGTGCTTCCGGGATGAATACTAAGTATGGAATGATGCGCCATCCTTAGTATTTCTTCTCGTAACTCTCCTCCTTCAGGTACAGTGATCCTTCCTTGGAGAAGAACGGTTCCATCTTCTGCTAAATGATACTCCTCATTATCGCCTTCTCCTTCTCTAATCCGAGTAGCGATCTTCTGAATTTTCTCATCCCGTTGCTGTTCTTCTCGAATCCTTTGCACTAGGCTGGCTTGGTTTATCGCTTGTAGTCCCAACCTCTCGCTGGACTCTCCTTCCAAGGCTGATAAACTTACTAGCTTCAGTTCACGACCTAGTGTTTCTAGATCCTTCTCCACACTCACTTCTGCTCTTCTGCGGCTCAAAGCATCAGCTACCACGTTGGCCTTTCCAGGGTGGTATTGAATCTTCACGTCGTAGTCCGCAATAAACTCCATCCAACGTCTCTGGCGCAGGTTGAGATCTGCTTGAGTGAACAAGTATTTAAGACTTTGGTGATCTGTTAATACCTGAACACTCTCCCCGTACAGATAAGATCTCCATATCTTCAGCGCGAAGACAACTGCCGCCATCTCCAAGTCATGCGTCGGATAGTTTTCTTCATGCTTCCTTAGCTGTCTTGAGGCATAAGCTATTACCTTCTCCTCTTGCATTAGAACGCATCCTAACCCAATCCGTGATGCATCCGTATACACCACATATGGCTTGCCAGGTTCCGGTAGAGTAAGAATGGGTGCTTTCGTCAATGCTTCTTTTAGCTCGGCGAATGCACACTCAATTTCTTCACTCCAGACGAATGGAACTCCTTTCCCGGTTAGTCTTGTCAATGGCTTCGCCATGATTGAGAAGTCCTTTACAAACTTGCGGTAGTATCCGGCCAATCCCAGAAAACTCCTTACTTCTGTTGCATTTGTGGGTTGTGGCCAGTCTTGTATAGCCGCTATCTTCTCGGGGTCGACAGAAACTCCTTGTTCTGAAACCCTGTGTCCTAGGAAACCTATCTCCCGTTTCCAGAACCGACACTTGCTGAACTTGGCGTAGAGCTTCTGACTTCTTAGTCTTTCCAAGACCTTCCGCAGATGCTCCTTGTGCTCTTCCTTGGTTTTGGAGTAAACCAATATGTCGTCGATGAAGACTATCACGAATCCATCCAGGTAGTCGTGAAACACCTCATTCATCAATCTCATGAATGCGGCCGGGGCATTGGTCAATCCGAATGGCATGACGACAAACTCGTATTGACCATACCTCGTGTTGAACGCCGTCTTGAATACGTCTGGCTCAAAGATTGAGATCTGATGATATCCGGAGGCTAAGTCGATCTTGGAAAACCAACTTGCTCCTCGCAACTGATCTAACAACTCATCTATCCTCGGGAGGGGATACTTGTCCTTGATAGTGATGTTGTTGATCCCGCGGTAGTCAATGCATAACCTCATGCTACCGTCTTTCTTCTTCACAAATAACACCGGTGCTCCCCATGGTGAGGAACTCGGTCGAATGAATCCCTTGTCCATCAAGTCTTCTAACTGTGTCTTCAACTCGGCTAGCTCTGCTGGGGCCATACGATATGGTGCCCTTGCTATTGGTGCCGTTCCTGGTTCAAGACTGATAGTAAAGGGGTTCTTCCGGATGGGGGCAATTCAGTTAATGCCTTGAATACATCCCCGTATTCACACACCACTGAAATGTCTTCCACCCTCAACTCCTTGTCATCTTCTTCTTCCACCACACTGATAGCAATCAGATAAGCTTCACCACACTCCAACTGCTTCTCTATTCGTAGAGCAGCTACTAACGCCACTGCCGTACTAGGACTGATTCCTTGGTACGCAATCTTCTGACGCTGAGATCCTTTGAAGGTGATTCTTCCTCTCTCACAGTCAAGCTGAGCTTTGTAGCTTGACAACCAATCCATTCCAAGGATTACGTCGAAGCGGGCTAGGGGTAGGACTAGTAGGTCAGCCGAAAACGTCTCTCCCTGCATAACAACAGGCACACCTAACACGACACTAGACGCTTTAAGGACTTGGTCTCCGGGGGTTACAACAGAAACCTCCACCAATCCTATCCTATAAGCGTCACCAAAACAAGATGCTACTTCGGGAGTCACAAAGCTATGTGTCGCTCCCGAATCGAACAAAACATGTGTCAGGATACCACCTACACATATTGTTCCTAGCACCACACCACAATACCAATATGCATACTAAATCAAGCAAGCATTCACACAAACTAATACTCTAACAATAACAAGTTAAAGTTAGTTTCCCACAATACCTGTGATGGGACCTTGGTTTGATCCCGACGGGTTTGATGGTCCTGCTTCTAAAGCATACACCTTACCCGAAGAAGTTAGACGCTTAGTCGGGGATTCTTTCATTGGTCGGGGTGGTGCGTTTTGTTTGCCGGATCCTCCTGCTGTTCCAACAACTCTGTTGGGACAACTAGTGGCGTAATGCCCAAATTCGCCACAAAGATAGCATCTGACATGCATGAGAGATTCTGTTGTCTTGAAGGTACGAGGACAATTTCTTGAGAAATGTCCCTTTTCTCCGCATGTGTAGCATCCTCGATCTCCATTTCCAGACTTCTGATTACCCTTGTGGGGTTTTCCTTGATTAGAAGATTGACCTCCCTTCTTTGACTTGGTTGTCGCGTTGAACTCCATTTTCCTTTTGTTCCACGCGGCTTTCTCCTTTTGTAGATATGTCTCTACATTCACCGCTCTCTCTATCACTTCATGAGGGTTGGTGAAAGTGACAGATTGTAGTCGACCTCCTATCTCCGGTTTTAAGCCTTGCATGAATTGTCTCACCAGGGCTTTATCATCCTCGTTACAGTATGAGGCATACCTTTGTAACCTCATAAACTCCGCTTCATAGGCTCGTACACTCTTCTCGCCTTGCTCCAATCTCAGAAATTCTTGAGTTAGACGATCCCGTGCTTCTGGTGGAAAATACTTCTGCTCAAACTCGTGTTTGAACTTCTCCCAAGTATTGACATACTGGCCTTTTTGTCGATCCACACTCTCCCACCAGTTTAGTGCGTCCTTCCGTAGATAGTAGATTCCAACGTCCTTCTTGAAGTTGATTGGACACCTAGTTGCAGCGAAATTCCTTTCGATGCTTTGTAGCCATGCGTCCGCCTGGTAAAGATCTGGCTCTCCTTCAAAGTGGTAAGTCCCCAACGTCTTCATAATGGTTACTATCTTCAGAAAATCTGGTGGTGGCGGCACTCCATTGCCGTTACCGGGTATGGCTCGATGTAGTACTTGAGATAAGAGATTATGCACCATTGATAAGGTCGGATCGGCTTGCGTTTGACCTTCTGCTACTGGCGTTGCCTCAACATCCTGTTGGGCTGGTTGGTTTGCAGATCCGGAAGGCTCAACCCGAGCATTCCTTTGCGGGTTCGATGGATGATAGTTTTGAGGTCTTGACCCATGCGTGTGAATGGAGGACGAGTAAGGCGACATAGAGTAGTCCCTTCTCTCTGAATAGTCATAGTCTAGATCGTCGGTTTGACTATCAGTGCTGGCATGTACTCATGCGTTCTCTCATGATCTTCATTGTCGACTCTGATGTCATGCATATCCACGTCTGACGGCTCTCTCCCGTTCATCTCCTCCGGCACCCCCTGACCCAATGATAAATCCCTCGACCACTCGTGACTCGACATCCTGAAACCAGTTAGTAGACAACTTAATATCTAATCCTAATAGGCAGAACAGACCGGATTCCTAATTTGGCTTTTGCGACACATTTTGACTCGATAAAACGGTTGCCCCGTGAGCATGACCATGAACCATGCTCTGATACCACCATTTGTAACACCCCCAGTTCGGTCTATAGACATAGACTAAACCACAGATGTCACAACTGTCGAGACTCATCAAATAGGCCGTTCCAGAACAGAGAACGAATCAAAGTCTAGATCAGCCCGTCCGGTGAATCCGACCCTCTCGACCGTAGCATAAGGCTTTGCAACCCGTACCATGGTCTTGAGTTGTGTCGGCTTGGACTAGCCTATTATCATTGAGTAACCGGGTTTAAAAGAAAACATTTTTTATATATATCAAACTTGTAATACAAATTCTTACAAAACATTTTATACTTTATGTTGCAGCTGCGGCCTAATGCCAAAAGATAATTATACATACATTACCCGAAAATCGAGTTTTGCAAAAAGCCAACCAAACTACTCCGGTCTTCGACTGTTCTGCCTCCTGTTCACAGGATTCTACTCCGAGCTACCTGTAAGACAAATAATCATCATGAGTAACCTAATGTTACTCAGTGAGTTCAGGACCCTCTATACAAAGGTTATTCCCCAAACCCAAACCCCAAAAGAAAAAGGCGGGATCTCATCCGCCACCTGCAACACAAAGCAATTATGCAATATTGCTGCTATAGCCTTAAGACTAACCGTACCCCAATCAAACAAGAACAGGTACGATCAATCCAAGACTATAACAACACTCAAACAAGCAATCAATCAATCAAGCAATGCACACAATCAATCTATATGCAAAGCAACCCTAATCAAGTAGCGGAATACTTGACTTCTACATGCAGTGAGGCCTCTAGGTGCATAAGCCACATTCTCAGCCCACGCCTGTGAAGGTTCACGCTCATCCGGAATCACACAGAAACTAGATGAACGCCTTCACCCGGGCACTACAGTCCATCGCGGTACCCGGTTCATCCTCCCATCTATTGGCCTTACTGGCGCACCATGCCAATGTCTGGTTGGATCCCATATCGTCATATGGTACCATACTCGGCCAAGGCAGCTGACCAGGTTATCCTCCGAGTCTTCCTCCCTTCATGCACAGCCTCCACGCTGCCAATCCGGTTGGGCTCTGACGTGCGAGAATGCGCTTGACTACACCTTCCTAAACAACATGTGGTTAGACACGCCACATGTTCTCAGTACTTAGCATATGGGCCTTTACGCACCACTATGCCTCATACCCTCGGTTCTGCGGCAGAGCTTCCCTTGCCTCGGAAGAGTACCCACACGAACCTCGAAAGATCTGGCGGCTCAGCCGTCCGTGATCTTTCCACATCGGAGTCATACTCAACATATGGGCCTTACGCACCACCATGTTAGCATGCACTCGAGGTTTAGCGGCATAGCCATGCTATAACCCCACAACCGATGCATCTCTATGCACCTGCATAAACAAGATCTGACGGCATAACCTTCCCCGAAGGTTACCCATCACAATCTTACACACAAAAGAGATCTGCCAGCATAACCTTCCCCGAAGGTTACCTAACACAACCTCACAACACAAGAGATCTGACGGCATAACTTCTCTCTCTAGAAGATTACCCGTCACAACCTCACAGAGATTTCTGCAGCATAACTCTCCACAATTTTTACTAAACATTATTGTTTAGAGAGTTATACCACATACTTATGAAACGATAGAAGGAAATAAACTATAACCTAGCTACCGGAACTCACAACTTTTAGACGACCCGGCTGACCCCGACCCTAGCCTCCCCGCTCTAGCCCGATGCTGATCCGCCTCTGGATCTTCTTCTCTTCTCCTCTTTCTTCTTCTTTCTCTTCTCCTCCACGCCTTCTCACTTTCTCTTTCTAGTTTCTCTCTCTAGATTTCAGTTTGTGGTGTGGTTTGGAAATGAAGACCAAGGGGGCCTTTATATAGGTTTTTCGGAAGCTCGAGGTGGCGTCTGGTGGCTTCAGAACGCGACACCTTGCTTCCGCATGCAACCAATGGCATTGCTGCACGCCTGGAGCAGCTTCTTCCATCCCAATCCACTTGAGTCAAATGGCACCTTCCCATTGGTCCATTCCCCAAGCTGCTGGGTAGCTGAACGTGATTGGTTCGTTGAGGATGAGCATCTCCTCCTTGATCCTATCTTCCTGGATCAAGTGGCTCCTTCCCATTGGCTCATTGTTGATCAGATCAACAAGCTGCTGAGTGTCTAGACCTGATTCGTCCAACACATTCCTGTCTTCTCATGAGCAGCTGAGTGCTCACACCTGATTGGTGCAACACATTTTCGTCCCATATGAGCAGCTGAGTGCCCATACTTGATTGGTTAGCTTGAACTTATCCTTGATAAGTAGCTGGTGTCGCCATTCCATTGGCCTTGTGCTTCCTTCTACGTTTCCTCTTGCAGAAGGTTTCGTACGTTTCCCTGTACGGAGGGTTTCGTACGTTTCCTTGACTGGAGGGTTTCGTCCCGTCGTACTTGAGAATTAAAATCTCTCATTTTAATCCTTCCGTCATTTCCATGTTTCTGAACTTCCACATAGCTGCTTGGAAATGTGCGGGAAACCTCTATCCCGGGACATTTGCGTTTCTCGCGCTTGTCATGGGATGGATCCTCCGTGTAGTGGAATGGTCGTTTCTGGCCGTCCGTCCCGTCTATGTCTTAACCGTGCTTAGCTAGCATGAGGGATATTACACTTGGTCTTGTGACTCAGAAACATCCTAAGCCATATCACTACAGTGGATCAATGAGACTGGAGATATGAGCGTGAAGGAGCAAGTGATAGTGCCACTATCTATAGGAAGCTATGAAGATGAGATTTTGTGTGATGTCTTGCCTATGGATGCTGGACACATCATTCTGGGAAGGCCATGGCAATCTGATAGGCGTGTCTTGCATGATGGCTTCACAAACAAGTACACCTTCCTTCACAAGGGGCGCAAGACCACTCTCATTCCCTTAACCCCTCAAGAGGTGTATGAAGATCAAGTTCAGTTGAGTGGCCAAAAGACTAAACCTCAAGCCAAGAAGGAACCAACCAAATCCAACAAGTCCTTGAACTATCTGGCCAAATCCAAACAGGTTAAAAGTTCCATGTTCTCTAATAAGCCTTTTCTCTTATTCATCTTTAAAGGAACATTTAACCTCTTGATTGATAATGCACCGGAGATTCCGAGTGAGATGTCCAAACTATTACAGGATTTCCAGGATGTGTTTCCAGAGGATTGTCCCAAGGGATTGCCACCAGTCAGAGGCATTGAGCATCAAATAGACTTTGTCCCTGGATCCACTCTTCCAAACCGTCCAGCATACAGAACCAATCCAGTGGAAACCAAAGAACTCCAGCGCCAAATAGATGAGCTTATGGATAAGGGTCACATCAGGGAAAGCATGAGTCCTTGTGCTGTTCCTGTTCTTCTTGTGCCCAAGAAAGATGGGAGTTGGCGCATGTGTGTGGACTGCAGAGCCATCAACAATATCACTGTAAAGTATCGACATCCTATCCCTAGACTTGATGATATGCTTGATGAGTTGCATGGTTCTAGCATTTTCTCTAAAATTGATTTAAAAAGTGGTTATCATCAGATTAGAATGAAAGAAGGTGATGAATGGAAAACTGCATTTAAAACTAAACATGGTCTTTATGAATGGCTTGTCATGCCATTTGGTCTCACTAATGCACCTAGTACATTCATGCGCTTAATGAACCATATCCTGAGAAACTTCATTGGTCATTTTGTTGTGGTTTACTTTGATGACATTTTGATTTACAGCAAGAACCTTGAAGAGCATCTAGATCACCTTGCATCTGTCCTGTCTGTGCTAAGAAAAGAAAAATTGTTTGCCAATCTTAAGAAATGTACTTTTTGCACAGATAATGTGGTTTTTCTAGGCTTTGTTGTGAGTGCAGATGGAGTCAAGGTGGATGAAGAGAAAGTTGCAGCAATCAGAGAATGGCCGAAGTCCTAAGACAGTGAGTGAAGTCAGAAGCTTCCACGGCCTAGCTGGGTTCTATAGGCGGTTTGTCCGTGATTTTAGTACCTTGGCCGCACCTTTAACTGAAGTCATCAAGAAAGAAGTTGGATTCAAGTGGGAGAAAGCACAGGAGGATGCTTTCCAGGCTCTCAAGGATCGCTTGACTAATGCCCCTGTTCTTATTTTACCTGACTTCTTAAAAACTTTTGAGATTGAATGTGATGCTTCAGGTATAGGCATTGGAGCTGTCTTGATGCAGGACAAGAAGCCAATTGCTTTCTTTAGTGAAAAGCTTGGAGGAGCCACTCTCAACTATCCAACTATGACAAAGAACTCTATGCCTTGGTCCGCGCTCTACAAACTTGGCAACACTATCTCTGGCCAAAGGAGTTTGTCATCCACACAGACCATGAATCTCTCAAACATCTCAAGGGCCAACAGAAGCTCAAAAAGAGGCATGCCAGGTGGGTTGAGTTCATTGAGACATTCCCATATGTCATCAAGTACAAAAAAGGTAAGGACAATGTTGTAGCCGACGCATTGTCCAGGAGGTACACTCTTCTCTCAACTCTTGATGCTAAACTCTTGGGCTTTGAACAGATAAAAGACTTGTATGCTTCTGATTCTGATTTTGCTGAGATCTATAAGTCTTGTTCTAAGTTTGCTTTTGGCCGATACTACCAACAAGATGGGTTTCTTTCTATGAGAACCGTCTCTGTGTGCCTAATTGTTCTTTGAGGGATTTGTTTGTCAGGGAAGCACATGGAGGAGGCTTGATGGGACACTTTGGTGTGGCCAAAACACTTCAAGTTATGCGTGATCACTTTCATTGGCCGCACATGATCAGAGATGTGGAGAGGATTTGTTCTAGATGTGCAACTTGTAAACAATCCAAATCTAAGGTTCAACCTCACGGTTTGTACACTCCTCTCCCTATTCCATCTCATCCTTGGACTGATATATCTATGGATTTTGTGCTTGGATTGCCTAGGACTAGAACTGGAAAAGATTCTATCTTTGTGATAGTTGATAGGTTCTAAAAAATGGCTCATTTTGTAGCATGCCATAAGACTGATGATGCATCTCATATAGCTGCTCTGTTCTTTAAAGAGATTGTTAGATTGCATGGCATGCCGCGCACCATTGTTTCTGATCGTGACACTAAGTGTAATATCCCTCATAATGACGTAAGCGCGGCCGGAGCGCCCAACACGCGAAACCAACCTTTTCGCGCCCAAGGAGGTTATTTTGTTCGCGGCCGGCCATAGACGAATTTGGCCGAAAGAAGTCTCGGCCAAAACCATAAATGGCCGAGAAACAATCGACTCGACCAAGCAATTCTCGGCCAACCCGTTCGAGAAGACAAAAGCTGGCCGAGAGAGTCACTTTTCGACAAGTGTCACGACAAGACAAAAAGTGACTTTTTGAAGGATCAACACTTGTTATTTGGGAGTTGGACACTCCAAACTCCCATGACAAATGGAAGCTTCTATCCTACAAGTGTAAGAAGAGCCAACAAGTGTCAATCAACCCCATTCCTTACTCCCTAAGTTTTAGAAGCCCTCGACAAGTGTCAAGAGAGACCTCTACATGTTTGCAAGATGCTACACAATTATTGGAAGACTTCAACCCACACATGTCTCCTCTGCCACTATAAATACCCCTCCCTCACCATTGTAAACTAAGGTTCTTCATTTTCTTCCTTAAGTTTAGTAAAAAAGTGAGTGAAAGAATAAGAAATAAAAAAAATTATATAAGTAACAAAATATTTACTCTGCAATTGATGAAATAAAATATATAGTTATGAAATAATTATATACAATATTTAATCAAACAAATTATAAACATATGTCAAATATTTAAATTTGGAATCATATTATTACACATAAAAAAAATACATTTAAAATATAATATTTGATTTTAACAACTCATTAATGAAAATTATCCCATATTTGCTGCTTAATTCCATCTCGTATTGCTTGCATATAAGCACCATCTGTTGTTTCTTCTTGTTCTTGCAAATAGTTTACTTCTTCGTTCTCTCCACCTTCTCCATTGTTATTAAATTGTTCTCTTGGAATTGCGTCAACATGTAAAGCATCATCAAAATCAAAATCTGGAATTTGAGAAAGACGAATGAAGTTATGCAAACCAGCTGTCGCTATGATTATATCGTTTTGTGTATCCAGATCATATCTCGAAACTCTGATAAAATCATAACCAGGAGGTTATGATCCATTAATTGAAGAAATATAGCAAGGGCTATAGATCTTTTGCATTAAAGTCCTAGTGACTCATAGATAGACAGATCATTTGATTTTTGGCGTAAATCATGATCTTAGGGCATGTCTTGGTACTCCTCATACCCTGCGGTGCGGGAAGGTTCGGATATACTTGGGTAGCTCCCTTGGCCGAACGGTAGTACGACGGTATGAGTTAAGCTTGTGTTCTTATCAGGTGATTTGAGCACAAGTACCGTGAGTTCCGTGATTGTAACGGATAACGGTGGCGATATTTCCGGTAATAGTTTCTGTGTGATTTCTAGAACGGATATCGCGTGAGGGGAGTATCAGCATGTATTAGAGGCCTAAAAATGCATAATAGGATGCATTCATAACATGGATGTTATTGCATGCATATAGTCATGTAGAGCATATATGCATTATTGTGTGTTTGTTTGCTTCCGCTTCTCTCATCTCGTTGGTTGACTATGTGTGTTACCAATTAGATGAGTTATGCGTACTTTATTAGTACTTTGTTCTTAGATTAGTGTGGGGAGAAAATTGTTGTATAGAGGGTCCTAGACTCACTAAGTAACACTAGGTTACTTATGTTGATTATTTATTTTTCAGGAACCCCTAGATCAACCTGGAAGTATCGTGGAACGTAAGGCACTGGAGTAGATTTCCCTTGGCTTTTGTAAAATTTTAATTTGTAAGATTAATGACTTTAAAACCCCACACCTGGTTTATTTTGGTTTATTTGGGCATTAGGCCTTGGTTAAAATTTTTATTTTGTATTTTAAAAACCTCCATCTTTAATAAAATATAAATGGGAAATAAAATTATGTTTTATTAAAAGATGGCTTGTTCGGATGATATTTGTTTTGTCCGAACTAACACAACATAATATTCATAATACGGGTTGCAAAGCCTTAGTATATTGGATATTATGGTAAGGGAGTTGGGCGGGACCGGATATGAGTCAAGGATCCCCTCCGGGACTCAAGTCTGGACTTGTTTAATTCCTATCTGTAATATTCTTGATTAGATTTATTTATAGATCGAATCGGGGGTGTTACAGATTGGTGGTATCAGAGCATGGTTCATGATCATGCTCGCGGACAAGCCAGTTTTCAAATGTTTTATCGAGTCAAAAAAAAATATAGAGTCGCAAAAGCCAAGTTAGGGTAATCCAGTGCGTTCCACGATCTAGGATAATTAACAGGACTTACCTCTTTTCTTTTATTTTTGGTTTAGATGTCAAACCAGGGTGAAAATCGGTCGTGGGGTTCGCAATCGGGTCAGGATGTGTCTCAACCGGGAAATGCAAGTAACACTTCCGACAATACGTACATGCCATCAGAGGAGGAAGGGTCTTGGTATGAGTTCATGCACGGATACATGCCGGAGTCAGCCAGTGACTCGGACAGTACGAACTATTGGCGCTACCAATGCAACCGTACTCTTCATCTTCAGAAAGCACCGGAGCGCCGAGTGATCACGATCATCACAACACGACAGTCACCAAATGGAGTCGCAAATGGTCGCCCACAACCTAATCAAACGGAGAAACAACAAACTACTGGAGCAAACAACTCTCAAGGAAACCAATCACCAGGACAGCCTAGCTCAAATGGACAACCACCACTTGATCCAACCCTCACTATGGTTCACAACTTACTGTCTTAAGTCTTACACCAGGGAGCAAGAAATGGAACGCCTCCTCCCCCGGATTTTCTTAAGTACGTGACCATGATGAAGACTTTGGGGACTTATCGGTTTGAAGGAAGCTATGATCCGGACAAGGCCGACACATGGATGCAATGTTTGGACAAGAATTTCGCAGCGACAAGATGTCCAACCGAGTTCAAGAAAGATGTCGCAGTCTACTACTTGGAGAAAGAAGATCTAGGATGGTGGAACAGTGTAGATAGGCAAACCAACCGCACTATAATCACATGGGAAGCATTTCAGAGAGAGTTTAGAAGGAAATAATTTCCTTTGGAAGCAAGAGATCGCATGGAGCAAGCCTTTGTTACTCTTACACAAGGAACCAAAAGTGTACGAGAATATGAAGCAGAGTTTATACGCCTCCAGAAGTATGTCAACTATGGATATGGTGACGATGGAGTTATGGTCAGAAAATTCTTACAAGGACTTACACCAGAGATTGGCGGAAGACTACAAGCAGTAACCTACACGCACCTCTATGACTTGATTGAAAAGGCGGTCAATGTGGAGAGCTTCATAAAGAGAGAGAAAGCAATGGCGAATCGAGGCAAGGACAACCGGAGCCAAGGATCAGGCTCAAACCCAAGAAACGTCTCAACTACAAAGAAGACCTACCCAACCACCCAAGGAGAAAGACCAAGAACGGAGAACATGAGCAGAGGAGATGGAGCTTGTTTCGTTTGTGGAAGCAAGGGTCATTTTGCAAGAACTTTCCCGGAGAAAAGAGAGAATGGAATGGCAGTAACTACTCAATACCAGCCAACATGCTACTATTGTGGAGTCAAGGGACATTTCTCCAACAACTGTCCCACCAAGACCAATATAGCGCCAAGACCAGCGGATAGACCACCGGCAGCGACCCGATCAGCGAACGAAGCCCCAAACAAGCGCCGAACCCCTGCAAAGCGTGTTTACGCTATGGGCGCTGAGATTGGTGAACACCGAGACCAATCTGGCGGTCCCATTACAGGTTTTCATACGTACTAATTCTTTGATTGATTGTTTGAGTGATGGTAGTTAGTATGCATCATGGTAGTTACATTTAGGAAATAGTACATAAGTGAAGATTCAAGAGGGCAAAACCAAGAAAAAACAAGAACAAAAACAAGAAAATATGAAATGGTATATACAAGGGATGGTGTTTGGATACCTCAGTGTCCCCCAAAGAACTGGGAGACTAGGTCGTGGTCTGGAGATGGGAGACGGCCATCAGGAGCACTCCATGCAACTGGGGTTGCCTCTTGTGGCTCACTCGATCGAGCTTGCGGCTCCTCTTCCTCCTCTTCTTCATCTCAAAGTGGGTGTGGCTTCCTTGGCCTTGGTGGAGCATGGCTAGCTCGTACTGTCCATAGGGGTTCCATCTACTGGGGAGGCTCCTGGTAAGGCATGGGATCGTATTCAAATCCCGGATTCTCAACTGGGGCTCCTCAGGTCAACTCGACCGTCAGCTCGATCGAGTTGAGTTTCCTCTGTTTGGACTCGATCGAGTCCGGTGGTCGAGCTGGAGCGTCTGGCCTTAGAACTCTTCCTCCTTCTCTGCGAGTTGTCTTCTCCTTCCCTTGGCTCGAAAGAAGAGGCTCTGTGAGGCTCTTGGGCAGGGAGCCTCCTTTGGGTGGTGAGGAGTGACCTACTCCTAGGGAATGTGGGGGCCTTGGACTTCTTCTTGCTTGAAGAACCAGAAACTTTCTTCTCCAAGCTTTGATCTTGCTCACCATCTTGTCCATGGACTTTTGCATCTTCTCCATGGCTTTCCCTTGCCACTTGTTGAACTTTTGGAGAAGTCCAATCCTCTTGTGGGCAGCCACAACAGAGGGGTTCATCCTTGGAGCCTCATACTCCTCAAAGTAGTAGCACTCAGGCTCACCCAAATCAGCTCTCCTGGACCTGATCTCAGCTTGACTCAGCTCGATCCTCAGCTCGATCGAGCTCGGCTCCTCTTCTCGCAAATCCGCTTCATGCCCAACTAATGTGTACACAGGGGGTCTGAAATCAATGTTCTCACCCCTTGCACTGTGGTGAGCTCTGGGTTGGGAGGAGAAGCTTGGAGGGCCAACCAATGGATGTGTGAACTTGAATTGGAATCTCCCATCCAACTCCTTGTGCTCAATGAGAAGGTTGGTCTTGCAAAACTTGATGTCCATCCAACCTGGTTCAGTGGCTCTCTATCAGTTGGGTTCACTCCAGCAGCACACAAGATAGGTGTGATGAGCCCTCCAACACTTAGCGCCTTCCTCGTTGATGCCTAGTGTTGTAGGCTGTGATCTTGTAGGTAGGAGATGGTCAAGGAAGGCATCAAGTTCCCTGTGTCATGATCTATCTCCCCTGATCCTTTGCCATCGCTTGTGCGTGAGAGAAGGGCTTGATTCCCATGTCAAGAAACTTGAGTTCCCTCGTTGATTGTCCCGGTCGCCTTCCTTGCAAAGAAGGTGTTGGCAAGTGCCTTGTGCACATATCTCAAGACTGGGCTCCTGATCTGAGCTGCCTTGGACCTTGAGGAAGAGTACACTCCATCAGCGATTGTAGCCCAAACCCTTTGGAGTTCCTTTTCCTTGAAGTTCCACTTGGTTCCCTCTCCATAGTTGAACCCAAACAAGATCTCCAGCTGCCTAAAGGTCACCATTCTCTTCTCTCCCTTAGCCAAGAACGTGATCCATCCCAATCCTTGGTCCAAATCAGCTCTATCTTCTCTCATACATGTGGTACCTCATTGAAGCTAGAACTCGCAAGTGAGCTCCTTGTAGGATTCCATGTGGTAGAGAAGAACTTGGCCAAGTGCATGTTCTTGAGGACCAGCTCCACATCTTCAAAGATTCCAAGGGCCTTCATGTGTCAACATGTGGGTACTTGGTCTCCATGAAGTCCATGGAGAAGAGAGCATTGTAGTGCTCTTGGTACATGGGGAGCTCATCCTCTTCCTCTTGACTCCTCAGCCTCCTCCATGGCACATCTCATTGGTTCTCTGCTCACTTCCTCAACCAATTGATTCACCTCTTCTCCTTCCTCTTCACTCTCAGTCTCATCACTTCTCCTTCATTTGGAGAACCATTTCCCTCCTCTTGAACAAGGTTCACTCCAATTTCAAACTCCTTGCTCACTCTCACTACTAATGGATCATTCCTCTTCTTGGTTCTCCTTTCTTCCCTCAATCTCTCACTCTCAGACTGCTCTTCAGAGTAGACATATCCCTGCATCAGGTTATCTCTGTCCTCTCTTCTCGCTCTCATCTCCAAACCTTCATCTTGCATCCTTTCTTTCATCTCCTTCTCTGCCTTTCCTTCTGTGACGCTTGCTTCCCTCACCTCTCAACATCTTGAACTGTTTTCACTAAAGTTGGCCTGAAATGCATCAAAAACTCAAAGAATTAGAGTTGTAATGATCGGTTTGGTCAACTCGACACTCAGCTCGATCGAGTCAAAAAACTCGAGTGACAAACTCGATCGAGCTAGGTGAAAACAGAGTATAACCGAAACCTAATTCAAATAAGAGCTGGAAAGGATGCTAATCAATCAAATTGAACCAAGAACAACTAGTAAATGGAACAATAGCAATTCTAGTGAAAACAAGCATCTTAACCAATACCAAACTCAAATTCAATCAAGCACATGCAACAAGTTCTAAAGGCAAAACAGAGGTGAGGTGAGGCAAATTCACAAGATTATACAAATGAAGCATAAAAGAAAGCAATTACTCAAGGAAAATCCACAAGGGACACATGCAATCAAAAATCAAAGAGGAAACAAGCAATGGAGGAATCGAGATGAAGTAATCAAGGGTTTTAAGGTTCATACCTTGCTTGAATGATGGAATTGAAGAGCAGTAAACTAAGAACAAGCAAAACAAGATGAAGAACAAAGGAAATCGCAAAAACTTAAGAGAGAAAGATTGAAAATCGAAATTTCTTGTGGTGAAGAGAGAGATGGATGAGTTTCAGAAATTTAGAGTGTGGGAGAGAGGAGAGTGGATTCGATCGAGTTATGGGGAAGAGAGTGTTTGAGATGTGTGGTTGAGATTAAAAGATGAAATAAAGAGGGAACAAGAAGCTAGGGATTCTCTGATCAATTAGGGTAGTGGGGGACCAAAATCAGCTTGTGGGACCCACTCCCTTGACCAAGAAAACGGTTATGAATTTGAAATTCAAAAACTTACCTTGGTCGAGTTGTGTAGCTCGATCGAGTTGCCCTGGTTTCTAGCTCGATCGAGCTATCGGTCGAGCTGGCTCCTTGACACCTAAACTTAACTTATTCAAAGGTTAAAAACATAAAGATAGATAGAAATTGCATAAATAGAGTATGTACAAGGATAAACATGGGACTTCCTCCCAAGTGAGCTTGTTTAAGGTCCCATAGCTTGACCTTTACCTTCTTAGGCATTGGTTGAGCTAGTCCCACCATCAAGGGTGATAGTGAGGACTTGAGACAGAAGCTCCTTTAGCTTGGTTGGGTCCCTGGACTGTTCTGAAGTCACCAAGGCCTTGGCTCTAGAGAATGGCCTTGATCTCCCCTTGTACCTTATCTTGTACTCAATCTTCCCATTTTCAAACTTGGTGGGGAACAAAGTCATTGTGAGCTGAGATGGCTTGACTGAAGGGGCCTGAGCTGGTGGATCCTTTCTTTTATCCCTGGTCTTGCCTTAGAGGCTACATCCTCCCCTTCTTTTAGAGCCCTTCCTAGTGGCTCATCAAACAAAGCTTGAAGGCTCTCTTCATCAAGCACACAAGGGGCTTGAACAAGTCGCTCAGCTCTTGGCCTATCAGATCGTGGTTTCTCAACTCTAGCCCTCTCAAGACGTGGCTTCTCAATCCTTGGTCCTCTCTCATCCTTATCCTTCCCAACTCTTGGTTCCTTGTCAACCCTTTCCTTCACAACCTTTGTAGCTCCATGACTCTTAGAACTGAGATTGGTACTGTCAATTGTGGCACAAAAGTCTGAACCTCTAGGCTGCAAGCGATATGACACCAAACTATTCACCTTGTGAAGGATCACTTCTTGCTTGTGAAAGTCATTGAAGCGCCAACTGTACTAAGGAAAGGGGTTCCCAATAACAGGCAAATCCTTCTCTTCTTCCATTTCCATCACAGTGAGATCAGTTTGGATGATGCATTCTCCAATTTTCAAGTGATAGTTCTTGAACACTCCAAGAGGAGACTTAGAAGTTGCATCTCCAAACATGATTGAAGTAGTAGGGCGCTGCAAGGCTCCAGCTATGCCTAGCTTCTCTGCCATGGAGAGAGAGATCAGATTGATGCTTGCTCCAGAATCCACTAAGGCATTGTCAATCTCAAGATGCCCAAGTGTGCAAGGGAGAGTGAATTTCCCTTGATCCTTGACCTTTGGTAGGAAGGTGGGTGAAGTAAGCAGGTTGAACTGATGAGTAGACTCTTGTAGGACCTCTGAAACTTTATCACTGTTGGCTAGAACATCCTTGACCATTTGCATTTGATCAAATGCCTCACTCATGCTATCCATAGGAGGCAACTCAATTCCAATCCCACTGAGATCTCTTCTGAACTTGTGAATCACTTCCTTGTGACCTTGACTAAGTAGGCGAGACGAGGAAGCGGCAACCGGTTGATAAGGATCAAGCAAAACAGGCTTGTCGGACAGAAGAGGTCGGACTCGATCGAGCTAGAGTTGGACTCGATCGAGCTGCCGATCGAGCTTGTCGTGCGAGCTCAACTGGTGAAGTGTGAATGGCCACAGTAGGTGCATGCACTTCTGGTTGATCAATCTGGACTCCAGGAGCCTCAGCAGCAACAATCTCTTCATCATTCAGCAGTAAACAAAAATCTTCAATGACCCTTTCTTGATCCTCTTCTTCAACAAGTCCTTCTTGAGTGAAGATGACCTTGCACTGTTCCTTGGGGTTCTGAATAGCTTTACCAGGTAGTTGTCCTTGCTTTGTAGCAGCAGCAACAGAAGAAGCATGATTCTCCAGAGAGTAAACCCTTGTGTTGAGGTTCTCGATCTTAGAGTTTATTTCAGCTAGCTTCTTGCTTGTGTCCACTACCCCATCAGCTTGCCCTTGAAGTAGTTGCTTTAGCATTGCCTTGAGCTCATTCTCTTGTGAAGGTGCAGGCTGGGGTGGTTGGTGGGGGAAGCCTGGTGGGATATTCATTTGTTGTCCAGGGAAAGTGCCTTGTGGTCCTTGGTAATTGTTCTTTTGACCATACCCATGTTGTGGCTTGACTCGATCGAGCTGCTTGTTGTTGAGGATATACTTGGTCCTGAGGGTTAGCAACATCAGTGTTGCGGTATGACATGGCAGGGTTGGACTTGTAGTTATAGTATCCTTTGTTGTAACCTCCTTGCCCATTGCTCATGTAGCACACCTCAGCAAATTGTGTATCCTCCCCTTCTTGGACTGGTTCCATCTCCTCAGCAGACACAAAGTTGACTTTCTTCATTGTGGACTGAGCTAGGATCAGCTTATCCAACTTCTCATTCAATGCCTTAACATCTTTTCTCAACTTTTCGTCTGACTCGATCGAGTGGTGGGTCGAGCTCCGGTTGGTGCGATCATACTCTTCTCCATAGCTTCCATTTGAGTTAGCTATGTTCTCCACAAGTTGCCAGCCATCATCTACATCCTGGTTGAGGAAGTTCCCATTGCTAGCTGTGTCTAGCATCTCCCTATACCTAGGCAAGCATCCTCTATAAAGAGTGGAGAGTAGTGATTCATTGTTGAATCCATGGTGTGGGCACTGACTTGTGTAGCCTTTGAACCTCTCCCAAGCCTCTGCGAATGTCTCATTGTTTCGCTGGATGAAGCTGGATATCTCTCCTCTAAGCTTGGCTGTGCGACCGGTGGAGAAAAACTTAGCAAGAAAGGCCTTCTTGCATTCATCCCAAGTGGTGATTGTGCCATGGGGCAAGCTCTTCTCCCATTGGTGAGCTTTGTCAGCTAGAGACATAGGAAAGAGTCTCAGCTTGATGGCATCTTCAGAGACACCATTGATCTTTGTCAAATCACAAAGCCTATCAAACTCATCAAGGTGGTCAATGGGGTCTTCACTTGGCAATCCATGGAACATCTTGTTCTGGACAAGGTTGATCATTCCCAGCTTGATCTCAAAGTTGTGGTTCTGCACTGGTGGTGGAACAATCCCTTGTCTCTGTTGGTGGCGGTTTGGAGCATCTCCTTGACCAATCGGTCGAGTTTGCCTAGCTCGACCGAGTCCATTACCCAAAGGGTTTCCATTCCCCTCTGGTACATCCATTGTATCAGCAACAAGCACCTCAGGTTCCTCTTGTACCCTCTGTGACCTCTGAACCCTCTTTCTACCCGTTGTAAGTCTAGCTCGACCAAGTCTTCAGTAGACCGACTCGATCGAGTTCGCATACACCTGCAAAAAGAGACAAAAACCCAGCAGTACAATAGAACAGGGGTGGTATAGCTTGATCGTCCAAGTGTGTTTGAAACTCAAATGCAACAAAAATATCCCAAATCGGCAACGGCGCCAAATTGATGATAGGATTTGTGTGTGGATGTGAAAAGTATGAAATGAGATGAGTGGAATGCAATCAGTGGTATATGATGAGTGGTAAGATGCAAACACAAACACAGTCAACAATTCCCTTTAACCATGATAGTTGTAGTACAAAGGGTTATCAATCCAAAATGGGAAACTTGTCACTCTATGAGAATATGAAACAACCAGGAAGTCAAGCAAGCAGTTATAGATTTGAAGTAACACTAACAACCTAAAAATGAAATGCAGTGCAATAAAAGTAAACAAAGCAGTAAACAGCTCGACCAAGAGACTCGAGTCGAGTGGCAGAGTACCAGCTCGATCGAGTTTAGGGTCGAGTTGAGACAAAAAGCTAAAGGTGACGACTTTAACAAGATAAAGAGAGAATTAGGGTTCAAGACAGGGTTTTGCAATCAAAGGAATCTACACTTAATCAATCTAGCTCTTAAAACTCCTTGTATCAAGGCTTCTCTTGATATTGGGCTTCTCAATGCCTAGCCAACCCTTTCCCAAGGTGGAGGCTATCAACCAAGGAATGATCTCAGAAACAGGGGGTTAGCCAGTGAGAATCAAACCTTGGAGGCTATAGGATCATTGCCCAAACTAATCCATCCAACCCCTTAGACCTCTATTGTCTAGAGCAAGAGATATTGGAGCTCTTAGTGGATCTTTTCCAGCGAATGCCATCACTTCCGTGTGGGGAGTCGCCTAAGGACTTACAAGCCAGGGGTAGTGGTCATGTAGCCTTAAGATCTATCCAAAAGAGAGAGAATCTAGATTAAGACCATAAGCTAGAAGGATTAAGCATATGAAACCTCTAATCTATCCCATCTCAAACCCTAATGGGTAACTACTCACTACACATGAATGTAAACACAAGCAAATGCAATAAAAGAGACATCATAAGAAAGAGGAGATGAAATTAAACAACTTTTATTGAAATAAGCAAGTGCAAATACAAAGAGATAATCCAGGATCTAAGATTCAAGAAGCAAGAGCTTCAAGAACACAAAGATGGGATTAGGGTTCTAAAAAGTAAAGACAATAAATTAAAGAAACTAAAACAAAATAATCTAAAGCTTGGTGGTTTTTTCGTGGCTTAGAGCCTTTAAATACAAGAGGATTAGGTTTAGGGTCAAAGGAAAGTCAAGGGGGAAGCAACATTTTTCGGGTTTGACTTTGACTTCCAGCTCGATCGAGTTGAAGCTTGGCCGGTCGAGTTGAGGAACTCGACCGGTTGGTCGAGCGGTGGTCTTCAAGATGGCTTCTCCCTTCTTCCTTTGCGTGTCCAGTTGAGCTGCTTCCATGCGCCAAGTCCCTCCATGCTCCTTATGTCCCATATGCTCCAGAATGCTCCAAAAGACCTATTTCAAAGGGCCAAACATGCATATGTATGCAAATGCAACCTAAAACTAACATGAATGCATAAGAAGAGAAAAGGAACAAGATATGATGCAAATGGAAGCTAAAACTATGCAAAAGATGCATAAAAGATGTGCTAAAACTATGTAAAATGCAAGTACATCAATGATTGGCAAGGCGCTCAAGCATCTGGTCTATGAATGGCAAGGGGTAGTGGTCCTTGCGCGTGGAGGAGTTCAACTTTCCTGTAGTCGACACACATTCTGTGTCCAGTGATTGTCCTTGTTGGAATGAGCTCATCATGTTCATTCTTGATGACTGTAATTCCTCCTTTCTTTGGCACGACATGTACAGGGCTGACCCATGCACTATCTGATATTGGATAAATCACTCCAGCCTTTCAGTAGCTTCATTATCTCCTTCTTGACAACTTCCTTTAGGTTTGGGTTTAGCCTCCTTTGGTGTTCAATTGAAGAACTAGACTCATCCTCCAGGATGATGCGATGTGTGCATAGTTCAGGTGAGATTCCTGTTAAATCATCCAAAGAATAACCAAGAGCCTTTCTATGCTTTCTCAGTTCGCGAACAAGTAAAGCGGTCTCTTCTTTTGTTAGTGCAGCATTAACAATAACAGGATATGTTTCATTAGGACCAAGATATTCATACCTTAGACCAACTGGGAGTTGTTTGAGCTCGGCTTTTGGAGCTCTAAGTGGGCACCATGGGTCGAACTTAACTTTGGTTTGTGATATTTCCTGACTCTTGTCAATGTCTGGCTCTTCCTCTTCTCTCTCTAAGTCCATATAAGCTATCAGCTCTTTATAAGCTTCCTTGGAATCCATGAACTTGACTAAGCACTTGAGCTTCTCTTTCCATGTATCCATACTCATTCTCAGCCTTTGTCAAAGCTAGCTCCAAGGGATCAATAAGAAGGAGTTCATCCAGCACTTCTTCTCTTGTCTCTGCGAGCTCTCCAATCCAAAAAGCTTGACCATCTACAGTTGGTTTCTCCATAGACTTGTTTACCTCGAAATTCATCACTATATCTCCAAGATGCAAGTCAATCTTTCCATTCTTGACATCTATTATAGCTCCTGCAGTAGCTAGGAATGGCCTTCCCAAGATAAGAGGGTCTTTAGGTTGGTGTTCCAGCTCAAGAACTACAAAATCAGCAGGGATGTAGCAATCTCCAACCATGATTGGAACATCCATAATAACACCAACAGGGCGGCGAACAGATCTGTCTGCAAAGACTAGAGATATCTTTGTAGGTTTGAAGTCAGTGATGCCCAATAGCTTGGCCACTGAGTAAGGCATTAGGTTCACACTAGAACCCAAATCACAAAGTGCTCTATGGAAGTGTGTAGAACCGATCTTGCAAGACAAAACAAAACTCCCTGGGTCGTTCAGCTTCTCTGGCATGCGATTCTGAAGTATGGCGCTACACTCCTTTGTAATCATCATTGCTCCTTCTTCAAGACTCACATTGCTTGTGAGTATGGCCTTCATATACTTCCTGAGAGATGGAATTATTTGGCAAGCATCAATGAAAGGCAACCTTACTGAAAGTTGGCTAACAAGATCCTTGAGCTTTGCTTGCTCCTTCTCCTTCTTGGGTTGAGAAAGAACATTTCTGTATGGGATCTTTGGCTCATACACTCTTGGTTCTTCAGGTGGCTTCTCCACTTCCTCCTGAGTTCCTGGTTCTATTCTGACATGGACTTCCTTAGGTGGTTCAGTCCCATCTCCAATATACATACTCCATTGGTTTCTTCTTGATTGGCGGCTTTGCTTCCTCTTGATCTGGGTATGCTGGCGGCTCATACCCTTTTCCATTCCTAAGAGTGATAGCTGCTACAGCTGCTCTCCTTGGATTGATTTCCACTTTTCCTGGTAGCACCTTCTTCTCTCTTAATAGAGCTGGCTATGTTGGCAACTCTAAGATCCAAGTCTCTTGTGAAAGAGAAATAGAATCCAACTTCTCATTCAATCTAGTGAAGGCTGACTCCAATCTCTCATCAATCAAGGCTGTATGCTCTCTATGAGAACTCTTGATGAAAGTTATCAAATCTTCAAAGTTGCTCCTTGGCTCCATTCTTCTCTTGTGAGGTGGTTGCTGATAATTTCTTCCTCCATGAACATCCCTCTTCTCATTGGGTGATTCTTGAGTAAAAACATCATGCTCTCCTTTCCAAGCTTCTTCTCTATGTGTGATCCATCTATTTGATGTGCGGGATCAGGTCTTCCCCTTTCCTATCCCTGATTCTGCAAGTGCACAGGTCAGAAGTAGTAAACGGGTATCGAACACAAGGACCAGATTGCACACTACAAGTTATGAGTTTGAGAACAAGCTAGGGCAAAAGTATAAGTTGGTTGAGTGCAGAGAAAGTAAAGCATGCAAGTAATAAAGTGAGATTCAATAGGAGAGAAAGGCTAAGCAATAGGATAGTCTTGAGATAAGCAATTCAAGAAGCATGAAATCAATCAATTAGGGTTACCGCACTTAGGTGCTAATCTAGAACTTGAAACACTATGGTATGATCATTCCACTGTCGAGGCTCCGACCCCTTTGTTAATCTACCTAGTCGCTAAACTTTTGGTATGTCCCTAGGTGATTAAATCAAGCATTAGTTCGATCAAGATCAATTGTTCACAACCTACAAGTAGATCAACTGTCGCAGTCTAAAAGAGATTGCCCACCAAATACTAGTTCAGGCGAATGATACAGCACTGTCGAGGCTCAAATCAACCTAAAGGCATATGCTAATTGGCCAGATTAACAACAAGCATTAAGTATAAGCAAAGATGGAGATTATAAGTAAAACCCTAATTGTGATCAATCATCAAGCATACATGAATGCTATCCTTTGACTTCCTATCACTTAACAAGTAAACTACTCAGACATAGAGAAGGAACACGAATTCATATTCATAAGAACAGAGATTCGAATCCTCTCTAGAAAGAGTAACAAGCAAGAACAAAGTAAAAGCAAGCAAAACTTTATTAAGATGTAAAATAGATTGTGGTCTCTCTCCTTCTTGAGTTACAAGGCTAAAAAGAAGTATTTATAATGCTCTAAGTATGAAAAGACGGCTAAACCTAATCTAGCTAGGTCGGCGCCGGCTTTGGGCTTGAATTGTGCGGATTGGGCTTCAAAAACGGCTTCGGGTCGACCGCGGCGTTCGGACGGTCGGTCGGGACGATCGGCCGGACAGTCGGGTCTTGGCCGAGTCGGAACGGTCGGGCCGGATGGTTTCATGGTCGGCCGGCTGGTCGGGCGGACGAAGATTTGGCCGATGGTTTCTCGGCCGGACGTGGGACGTTCTTTCCCGGCTCGGACGGATGCATCGGCCGTGGTACGCGAACGGGTTGCGCGGCCGCGAGGCCTTGTTTCCCGGCTCGCGCGCTGGTCGTGCGCGGCGTGGCGTGAAACGTTTGGCTTGGCCGACCGCGGGACAATGTTTCCCGGGTCGTGTTGCGTGATCGGCCGGTGGTTGAACTTTGGCCGAGACTTCAGTCGGACGGATACGGTTTGGCCGAGCGCGGAACATGTTCCTCGGCCAGCCGGACTGCGCGTTCGGGCGCTGATTCTCGATATAGCCGTCTGGAGCAGCCTTCACTCTTTTGGCTATAACTCCTTTTCTACTCATCCAAATGAAGCCATTCCAGTTGCGTTGGAAAGTTAACTCAATCAGAGCACGCAGGGAACTGGTCTTGATGAAATCCATTGAGTAGATCTTTTTCTAGCTCCATCCAAAGTTGATGCAGGGGCATTGAACTGGTTTAGAGTCCAAATCTCCTGTTTTGCTCCATAATGCACCTTTTTACCTAAAATGACTCTTTGCACTATAAATCCATAAAAACTACCTTTTAACACAAGAATCCACTAGAAAACCATTAGAAAACCATAGTAAAATAGCATAAAAAGTAGGTAAAATAGAGGTATATCAACTCCCCCAGACTTAGATCTTTGCTTGTCCCCAAGCAAAAAGAATCTAAACTAGTGAAGAGGTTTTGAAAAACGTGGGAACTCTCTTGCTTCTTTGAAAATCCTGTGAAAGGTTCCTTTCCTGTATTCCACTAAGAACATAGTCAACATAAGGTTAGCTTCACATACACCCTGCAAGTTTAGCAACAATACCAACCCAACTAGTCTCATCCAGCAATCCAAACTCTCTATTGTTAACCTCTTGCAGAAATTTAAAGCGTGAGTTCTTTATCAAGGGAAAATCGATCAATTGAACTTGTTCTTACCCACTTGATCTTCTCCAAGATTGTCTTTGAAGTGCAATGAGTTCCTTTCCTCTCTCTTTCTCACATCAGAACTTTGAAAGGTCAATTTCTCCCTACTTTTCTAGGGTATCATTTTATTTTTTCTATTGACCTTTCTTTCAACCACAGGATAAGTCTTTAGCTTGTTCCTTGTTTGATTTAGGTATTCCATAAGACATGAAGGTACAGACATATGCATTCCTCATGCTTACTTGTTTTCCTTGTGCTCTTTGAGCTTTTCTCATAAACATTACTTACCATTTGGGATGGGAGAGAGAGGTGAACTCTTTAGACAAATCTCATTGAAAATCAAGCAAGGAACTGTCGACATGTATGCCAATCCCCTTGACAAGAGTTATTAAGATTGATTAAGGGTGAGGTTAACTCTAGATTGCTTGGTTACCTTAGAAATTTCGCTGAGCTAGCATGCCGATCCACTCTAGGAGCTTCTGTTAGGCTTGTGCCTTCAGCTGATGTTTGCTCTAGGGTCATAGATTGTTAGCATACACTATCAAATCTCAAAGCAAGTTCATTGTTCCCGGACTGGTTTTGACTCAATAAAACAGAAGTTTTGAAAAAGTGGGTTAGGAAAAACCAATTATAAGATCAAAACAACCATGAACAAACACATTAGTACCGACAATCCCCCCAGACTTAACTTGCACCGTCCCGGTGAAAGAAAATCCAATTAAGGGAGTTAAAGAAAGAGGTAATAAAGTGGTTGTGAATGTAAAAAGAAAGATGTAACCTGATTTGTGTTACTTGAAGAATGGTGAATGCAGTGGAATGATGGTAGTGATGGAATGCAAGTGTGGTGAGGTGGGATGGGTGAGATGCAGATGGAATGAGATGGGATGGTGTGTTGGGCGGCTTGAGAGGACATGGGCGAGCGTGGAGAGGTTCTGCTCGGCCATCAAGTCGCGCCAACTATGAACATTCTTCTTTGTGGTATATCTTCTTTACCATTGTGTGGTTCTTAGATTCCTGTATCCAAAACTCAAAACAAAACTAGACATTAACTAAAACTAATTGAAAAGAAAAGTAAAGAAAAACACCTTTCATGGGTTGCCTCCCATGCAGCGCTTCTTTTGAGTCATTAGCTTGACTGATAGGATCTCTTAGTTGGAGATGGGGTAAGGGCACGGCCTGAGACATAGTCTTTTAGTTCTTGTCTCATTGTGACCTTGAGTGTGGTCTGGTGGCTCTCTTGGGCGGCCTTGGGCAGTGATGAGGTAAGACAGCTTGTTTGGTGTGATGAATGGTATGGTCTTGTAAAAGACTGTCTTGTCAACATTGGCTAAGGACATTCGCCGGTTTGGAAGGTCCATGACAGCTCCAGCAGTGGCCAAAAAGGGTCGGCCTAGTATCAATGGTGTGTCACATCCTCCTTGAATGTTTATGACATGAAAGTCCACCGGGATCTTGATATCTCCAATCTCTAGAAGAACATCAATAACAACTCCTCTTGGCTTGGCTATAGTATGGTTAGCAAGTCCAATACTAATTTGAGCAGGTTGCAAGCGTGTGATGCCAAGGAGTTTGGCGGTTTGGGTTGGCATGAGGTTTATGCAAGAGCCAGAATCGCATAGTGTTCTATCAAAGTAATGACCATTTACTTGACAGGGAATAGAGAATTGACCTGGGTCTTCAATCTTGTAGAGGGTCTTGAAGGTAGGCTGAACTTTAGCTTTCTCAAAAAGCTCTTTTATGTCCTCAGGTGTCTCCTTGCAGTTGTGGAAGAAAGGTGGTGAATGGGTAGTGGCGCCAAGCTTGTTTGAAAGACATGCTGGCTGGAAGAGTTTGGACAAACTGATTGAACTCAGCAAGCTTCTCTCTTGATATGGAATTGACATACCACTTGGGTGGTGGTGATGATGGTGGTGATGGTGGTTGATTGACTGCATGAGGGGCAAGGGGAAATCGAGCCTTCCTGAAAAGTTGGTGTATCTCTTCTTTGTTTTCACTAGTTGTGAAAAAGAACTCCA